TTAAAACTAAAAACTGCAAATAAATAATTGAATTATTCAAACAACAAGACATCGACATGTAGTTTTCTTCTCTTCTGATAGTCAAGCTCTCGATACGTAATTAAGTTTCTTATGAATAAGATATTATAATTATCTTATATATAAAGTATCGTTACATAGAAATTCGACAATTGCTCGTCTGCAAAGAATTAATCCACAGCTATTTCTCAGTCTCCCATAAAAATCGCGAACTGCCAACCGCTCACCGCAAGAATCAGAAATCGGGTTACGCCAACCATCTTAGCGGTGAGAGGTCGCGCGGGGCTAGACGAAAAAAGGAGCAACGCGGCAATTAACCCAAACACCCCGAGACACTTGTTATAGTTGCTGGGGATGAACGAACCCCCCGTTTTAGAGTGGCACTCGAAAGCGAACCTTGTTATCAGAAGCGTGCGCGTCAAGACTGAACCCACGAACAGGAAGCGTCCTGGGGTAAGAGGCGGAGAAAGACGCTGGGAATTGGGGAGTCGCAGAACGTCAGGGTGGAAGCTACATTTCCTCCCTCCCTCCCCCTCTCTTTCGCTAATAAACGGCCGGTTAAACTTTTTAACGAGCGGTCAGCCGGAGCAGAGTTTCTTGAGCGGGCAACGCACCCCACGGAACGGATTCTTTCACGCAATGGCCGACGGGGCTGAATGGCCCCGCCACGTGCATACGCCTCCGCACGTTATAACCGCACACTCGAAATCCAAGAACGCGGCTGTGTGCACGCGTACGTGTGGCCTCTCGCAATTATTTCTAACAACCTCGAGAGAGAAGCGGGCACACTGGCGTTTCATTTCTTCTTCGTGTTCTTTTTTTTCTTCTTTGGCCGATCGAGTCGGACGGACTCACCTGTCTAGGGATAGCTTAGTGGGGGGTGGGAGTGGCGGACGGAATTACCTCTGACCGATTCGGAAATCTTTTGGCGAAAGTTACTGTGCTATTCGCAGTAATTCTGGGCTAGCGAAGTGTTGGATGGTTGAAACGCGGAAATTGGTGGTACCGGCGGCTGCTGGGATGAGAGGTTCGCGCGGGAACGAGTGAATGAATGAATCGGAAAGATTTTGGGATGTGGGATGCTGAATGCTGAATATATTAAGCTTTTCGCGGTTTGTATAGGTAAGCTGAATTCTGCCAAATGTGAATATTTTGTATGGATAAGTTGAATTCTTGTGAATATTTTTGTTTATTCCTTGAAAGGTGAATTTTATTGAACAGTTTAGACAGTATTTGGCATGGATAAAATAAGGCGGACTAAAGCGTTTATGCTATATGTTGTTTTGGGTATTCTCCCTTTTTTAATGGACTTTGGAAGAGTTAAATATAATTATTAAAAAAGAAATTAAGTTTCTTTTTTAAATTAATCTGTAACTATTTGATATTCGAAATGTAGGTATCTAATATTTTAATATAAGACCGTAATATAAAGGAATAAGATAGTTTCTTTGTAACAGTCGCATTTAACGTGTTGAAGAAAATTCTTTTATGTAGTGAAACAAAATGTGAAACTAAATGTTTAGCAAAATAAAAATGAATGGACGTTGGACTACTGATACACATAAAATGAAGAATATATGATTGAAAGATAATAATAAAATCACAAACGATCGAATTTTTTCTAGTGAATAGTAGGATACATAAAAACTTCATTTAATACGCTATCGAGAAATTTAAAGTTTCTTCGCATAATCAGTTCTAGCTTTGCATCTTCGAATACCACATTGAAAAAGATGCAGAACCTAATGCGGCTGACCACGGAGCATTTCAAGTTTCTTCGGTCGTCGTTACCAGGCCGCTCGAAACTTGTATTTCTACGGGGACGATTGGGTTCAAGCGAAACGGAAAACCGAGAGCCGGTTCGTTTATTTCTTGCGCGAGAGTCGTTACCGGCCTCGTTACCGGGGATATTTGGAAAATATTGGAACTCGGAAACTATTATCGGCGGGTTTCTTCCGTGCCTTTCCGACTATTCGCTTTTTCCAACGTTTCGCGGGGACAAATGACAGAAAACATGACTACCTACCGAAAGATGGAATTTGTTTGCAGAAAAAAGTACTAACTTAGCAAAAACACTAAAATCTACTGTAAAATTTTCACTATAAGACTTTAAATAGGTAGCTCTATTTACAAATAAAATAATAATTTTCTAATACTTAGTATGACTTTCTATACAAAATGATATTTTTCTTAATGAAATATTTTCACCGTTAACCACTTCATACATGGTTGTTACATATTTATCAGTCCCTGTTCCGAAATATTAATAATTTTTCATTCTAAAACTACATCGAAGTTACTTAATTCAAATGTAGTTTAATGTTTTATTCCTTCATTTTAAATTGCTATTTGTAATAAAATTTCCCGAAAACGTACTAAATGATAAATAAATAACTTGAATCTATTCGATATAAGTTGAAATAGACAGAATAGTCGTTATAATCTGTTAACATTTTAGCCACCGCCCGTAATCGAGGCAACCATTTATAATTAACAATATGATTTTCTTTAAGACGTAGGAGTGTTTTACATAGCAAGCTCTGTAGCATTAAAATCAAAATGTAAAGGAATCTCCTTATATCGTTCTGATTTCTTGTTTCAAATCAAACTATTTTTAACAGATTACACATTGTTAATACAAAAACTACCAAGTAAGCAGAATGACATGTTTCCAACTTTTTATAAAATTAATACATTTCTTGAGGTTCGAAGGGTCTCCTAATCTTGTGCCTGGGCAAATACGTAAATTTAATTTAAAATCTTTCGCAAAAACCCCTTCATAATTTAAATACTTACAAAATAACAATTCTGAAGTGGGTCAATTTGACCCGTCCAATAGTTTCAGTGTTAAACATTTGTAATTGAAAAACCAATTGCTTGCCGTAGATAAAATGTTAAATCTCTACATAATTAGATGATTCATTTACAGCTTTCAAATGCAGACAAAGCACGAAAAAGCCATTATCACGGCATTCGTCTACAAACGGTTAAAAATCATCTAAACCCAGGGAAATAATCTTCTGACAAGTTGAGCAAGAAAAGAAATAATCGAAATTGCAATCATCCGTTTGAAAACCCACCCCCGTGAGGTTTTACCCTTCTCGAGGACGCCGTGAACACGCACTTCGTTATAGCAAGACTCGACCGGAGGGTGTACACACGGGGAGGATCAGCCGCGTAGCTGTTTGCACGCAGCCCACCCCTGTTTGCGGATGCGCGTCGTGTGAGGGGGTGGAGAGCTGGTGGCGAGGGTCGTCCGGGAACAATGATATTTTAATAACTGTCTCATAATCCGTCCAGCCGCGTACGCCAGACGCAAGAGACGAAGTCTCTGGAATTTCCTACGCGTTACATTAACACCGCTCGGCCGATATTGCATTCCATCCACCCACCCTCCGGAAGAAGCGTCTGTCGATTCTCGTTAATATTGTTGCCGCGTAAATTAAGCATGAGACGAGCACGGAAAACGGTCTGCAGCTCACGGAAGTAGACGAGGAACAACGCCGATTAGGGATAGATCGTTTGTCTCGGCTCGGATCGAGGGTCGTTTAATCTCTTAATGGTGACCGGATAATTGGCGCGTTTATAACCGGGTTTTTACGGTTCGTTAGCGATTTGTGCGCTGCGTTGACTATGTTTTCGTTATCGTGTTAAAGTTTTTTACTAAATAAATCTTTTAACCTCTTGCCCTATGATTTATTTTTCAACTGTGATCGATGCGACAACTTTGTCAGTAATAGTTTATTGAAAAAAGAGGAATTGTATACACATTCTATATATACGTTTTCCCTGCAATATAATAATTGATAACAGAAGAATAATATTTCATTTAAATTTATAAGAATTGAATAATATTTGTTTGTTAAATACTAATTAAAATGTTTTAGAGAGAGACCGCGAGTCTCAGATGTTATTGTAAGGCAAGGGGTTAATATTAATTGTATTAATATCATTTTTATTAATATTAACTGTTATCTAATATTGGAACTATTAAATGTATCAAAGTAGTCCATTTTAGATGTGTTTTTTCGTGATTATTGAAAAGATATAGACGTTTTCCTTGGAATTATTAAGTAAAGTAAGTTAACAGTACACTGAATTGGATGAAGATTTCGATGAGTGTATTCTTATAACTGGTATTAATTTTGTATAGAGAAAGTACGAAAATATAAATTCCTCTATTTATAAAACAAAAAACTAAAATCTTTCGTTTCGAAAAGTACCTACAATAATTCTATTATTACAGAAAAACTAAGAAAGTTATTTCACCTTATTTTTACATAGATAAAAACACGATTTTTAAAACACATAACGAAAGAACTCTCTTACCCCTGTGCCATCCCAACACTCTTCCTAAGTAACGAACAATACTGCTACATCACTTGACGGTTAAACTGAGGAATTTGGCTGATTGATCAGTTTTCATTTTTTCTGTTCTAACTTCCTAGTGGTTTTATTTTCTAATTCTTCATATTTTCGATTGCTAATTTACTATTCGTCAATGTGGTTACACGTAACCGATGAAAACTATAAAATGGTAAACCCCGTGCTGTTTCGCTAGACATCAAGTCATCTCCCAACTGTACGCGCAGCGACTTTTACCTTTGAGGCGGCGAAGTAATGGTCCGTTCGGTGGCAGATTCGCGAGTCGTTCGAACGAGAGTGTAATACTCGAGCTCCAGGGCCCGTGGCCGACCGGTAAACACCGCGGGGAACCCTGGGGCAATAAAAGATGCACAACGTTTTTTCAAGGGTGTCAAGGATCCGTAAGAGTCAATTCGGCGTGCGTCGTAGAACAATACAAAGTGTTTGCTCGCCGGAGAATTTCATCGGCATTGTGCGTGTATTAATGCGTGCGTTTTTTTCCTTCCCTCTCTCCTTTTATTTCTCTTTATTTTTTTCTTCTTTCTTTCATTCTTTCGTTCATTCTTTCTTTCTCGTCCATTCGCAAGCGAACGATACGCCCCCTGTTTTTGTTCCAGGCACAAAGAGGTCGAGAATCTCTGAGAGCACTACGGGAACAATGCTCTCTACCAGCGACACCGGTAACGAAGACGACCGTGACTCCGACTCCGGTGGGGAACTTCTTGCTGACCGTCCATTAGGTGAGACCTCGTCTCCGTTCGAGTCCCGTTCGCTCCCTTGCTTTGTGGTATATCGAGTTTGGACCCGCAATCGAGACTTGAACGCTGAAACTACCGGATAGGCCGAAATGTCCCATTCCTGAACACTTCTTTTACAATTGTAGAGGGATCCCGTGCACATGATTAACACGATAACAAAATGATGGGTTTCAGTTTTCTTATTTCGTGATTATTGAGATATTAAAAGCGTTAAATCTTCGAAATAATTGGAAAAATAAATAGTTTTACTTCAGTACTATAATGAAGACATGAAAAAATCAGAAAAATGTCTATTGTTACAATTTTTGTAATATAAAAATTATAGTTTTATACGAAGAATCTTACTATAAAAGTAAGATCCTTCATAAAAAAATTATAGAAGTAGAAGAAGAGGTTAAACTAGTATCCGCAAGGCGACGTTGGTAAAACTTGAGACATTCGCTATCAGCATATGTTTCAATAGCCGTCTACACGATTACAATATCTTAACAACCAAACCACATCGTCGTCATAAGATACAAATAATATTCATGAAAAAAAATCTCCTCGACTTCCTGCAGATTATACCATGCGTTACCATGTTAAATAAAAACACATGTAAATGTAATGCAGTCTACTTTGCGTAGAATATAAAACATTGATTGTCACAAATATGTGACGCTGGTAGGGAACATGTTTATATGAAATCTGTAAATGCAGACTTGCGCTATAGGGATTACTACTATATTGAAAAAGTAACACTTGCTTCTCTAAGAAAATACTAAAGAAATTTACTTAGTAACACTCAAATTAAATTATAAGTCAAACGAAATCTCAATGAGAACTCTTTTAGAGTTTTTATAGAAAAATGTTTAAAAAGTCAGATTGTTTGACAATTCTATTCTTAATCCATTGCAATCCTATGTCGAGTTTGACTGGACATTTTATTCAAGTAACTACGTGTTTTATCAATATTTCCTATTATTATTGATAATACAAGTATCATAATTACGCCATGTGAATACACTTTTAAAGTCTTTTGAATGTACCCAAATAAATTAATAAAGCAATGTATATAAACTAAGAACACTTCAAACTGCAAAGGGTTAATCTTCGTATGACAATCAGTTTAACTGATTCGTATAATTATACAAACTTGCAATCGTAATACACGTGTGCAATAATTTCGTGCATCCATCATCATGTTTGTGAATCTCCATCTTAATCAGGATATACATAATAAAAGTTAAAAGATGCAGCTCTCTTTAAAAACAACAATAAAGTAATATTAAAATCAGCACTTAAAACCTAATACAATGAAATATCGAAGGGAAAAGTTACAACCTCGATTCTTTAAGCTCTGTTCTCGCTAAGCGTACTCAATCAAATGTTATTTTCAAAATTTTGCTTTGTTCGTGTTCTATAACAGAAGTATCGGCGTCGGTGGGAATGACAGAGAACGAGACGACAAGGAAGCGGTCCAGTAGTCTGAACGACTCTGAGGAAGGAAGTCCGGAACCAGGTTCACAGAGTCCGACGCACACACCGCCATTAACGCCAGCCCTGACGCCACAAAGAGAGGACACGCCGGCGCCAGAGAATCTCAGCCTCCGCAAAAGCGGAAGTCCACAGCAAACGCAGCAGAGCCTCCAACCAGTGGACTTGGTGCAACCTAGACCTAGCCCGCCGTTACCTTCGTTGGCTGTAAGTTCTTTTCTTTAACACGTTTTTCAACGAAAGGTCGAATCATTTCGTTTTTAAAAATAGTTATAATATATACATAATCAAGAAGAATATGTTTTAGATTAAAAACAGATTTGGTCATCTTTATTTCTAAGAATAAAAGAAATATAAAACAGCGCATTACTTATCAACAACCGAACATATAACTTTTACTATGACGTTTTTTACCATTCAGTACCCTCTCTCACATACTACTATCGCAAATCCTATTCGCTGATTAAAATAATTAGCAATATGAATATACTGGCAAACAAAATATAAACAAAAGCTTGAATTAGCCTAAGTTTACATTCTCTGTTTCACATTCTATTTTCTCATATTCGTGTTTTACATAAATGCTTAAAAATTCATCGTTCAGTACACGTAACCCTCGATTTTCACGGTAGTTATATTTGTCTAACTCGGCCGTATTAAAGTAAAATGCAAGTGCCGCGTAAATGGAGGTTCTTCGGTTCTTCTTCAGCCGTGTTAAACCAAAATTGTGGAATTCGAATGTCGTGTAAATCAAGGGCTAAGTGTAATAAATCGCAAAGAAGGAAATATTAATGATTGAGGAAGAAAGAAAAATGGAAATCGTTCCTCTTGTTTCAGGCCGCAGCGACGGCGGTTCACTTCCCCCCTTACGCGCCTCTTTATGGTCCAGCGGCAAGCTCGCTGTACTGTTCGCCAGCCCTTTACCAGCATCAGCATCACCATCACATGCCGGAACCGCGGGAGATTCAAATGCAGATGCAGATGCAGAGTATCCAACAGACCTGTGGGCTGCAATTACAGCAGCAGCAGCAACAACAACAACAGCAACAACGGTCCCCAGTGGACGTTCTCCTGCGAGTCTTTCCGGGAAGGAGGCGCGCGGACGTGGAGGCCCTGTTGCACCGGTGCAAAGGTAGGATCTGGAATCCGATATGCGCGGCTTTCATTCACGCGCTAGAATTTGATGTACTCAGTTGGCCAGTACCTACAGTGCAGTCCCACGGTTTATTTGGGAATAAAATCGTTCTCAGGTTTCGCCTTTGATCCGTGTAGGTATCCACATTCGACTCCTTTTCGGGCATCACATTTGAATTAAACATAAAACAATTACTATTATAATGTAAAGCATGTAGATCGGAATAATATGGACAGGCATATACAAAACTAAACAAATAACTTTATTTATTAACAATAAAATAAGAAACTATACACTAATAACGCTCAACTCAAATCACGACTCACTGCCACGGAGGCTAAGTCATGACACTCCATAACTTATTGCCACGGAGGCCAACACAGGATTCTCTCGACACAGCCATTCTTTCGGACATTTGGTCTAAAAAATCATGCTCTTCTCCACAATCGTTCTTCTCACTCGTACTCAACACAAATTTCCAAACACACACTCCTTCCAAGCCTAGCGGGAAACCTCGCAGTCACAGTTCTTAAAAATACCCTAAAACTACGCTAAACTCTAGATACTACACTATAGAGGTCGGTTATTGGAAAGATTTTTCAGATAATCGGTTTGAGCGTGTCATAAATCGATGAGAGATTATATAGTGTCTAGATGTATTTTCAACATTTTGTATGCATTCAGTAATATTTATGTGATATGATAGGGTGCTTTCTAATGTTAACATTGATGGATGCATACGTTTAATTCATATCGTGTTCCTGAACGTGATTCGGATGGGGTCGACAAATGGAATTTGGTTGAACGATCTAAGTTTTCATTGAAATAAAATTGGAATGTGCGAGTTATGAACATTTCGCTCGCACATGTTTTTTTTCTGGAACAAACATCGAGTTCTGTTGAACAGTATAATTGTAGTATTTTCATATTCCATTTCATTCGGGCGGAGAAATAAGACAGCCTAGAGATTATAATATTACATACTTAAAATAATTTTACATACTCCAGTTGGCCTAACCTTTGACGACGAATCAAACGTATCCATAAATTCCGCAACTTGTAATCGAAGTATAGTACGAAGATAACAAATTAGCTATTTGCGTTTGCCTTCACTTTTGACATTTTTGTACCACTTCGTACTATCCATCAATTTATAGATACAACAGTTTCGGCCAAACTCAAAAATACACGTGAAAAAGAATAAAACCATTAAACTCTAAAGGATAAAGAAAATTACGAAACACTAATTAGACTCGATACACGCAATCGATCCGCTGTGGGTACGCTCAAAACTCGTTCCTTGTCTTTTGTTTTTGATATACGCAGATAGAGCAACGTCAAACCGAGATCGTATCAGAATTCATAGTATGAACACCTGTATTATAAACAGCTGAAGAGTATTTGTTCAAACCGCGATTTAATCAAAAGCTGATCAAAACTTGACCGATAGTGTGTACCAGACCTTAGACCCATATTCCTCTATCCAACCATCTGATCATCTCCATACTCAACAAATTTCCCAAGTTGACTGATACAAAATCCCTCATACCCCATCAAAAACCAGTAATCTCTGCATGGAAAAGCAAAAGACCTGTCTCTGTCGCAGGGGATGTAGTCTCCGCCATGGAAGTGTTAGTCTGCGAGGACAGTCTCCAGCCAAAGTCTGCGTTCTCGCCTCTGGCCGGCGCACTCGCGTCAGCTGCGGCTGCATCCGCCTCGGTATCAGCCGCGTACGCGACTCGTGCTGCATACTGCACCACACCGATCCCCTCGACCAGACACAGATTCCTCGCGGCACCGTACGCCGGCACCGGTTACCTACCCACGGTGATCAAGCCGCCCAATCAGAGCCTGCACGCGAATGGAACCGGTGACGCCTATCGGGAGACCAGTCCCGATGACGCCAGCGACAAGACCAGCTACTCCGAGTGACCTGACGACGCGCTGCCCGCCACCTGGTCCTACCTGCAATAGCCCCGGCGCGACTGGGGGAGGGACTACGCTCGGAAATGGCGTTGCCTCGGAAGATCTTGCACCCTTTTGCTGATCTAACACTAACCTTGGGATCACACCGGATCCTTGAATTGAGGATCTTCCAGTGTCTTCGTCCTAGGGTTCACGAGGTACTAACTGGACACTGGACCCGAGAACTTTGGAGACTTGTTAAAGGAATGTTAAAGTTGAAGCAAGGATTGATGAGACTTTTGGAGGTGCGTTTTGGGATTGACGGATAATTCGGAGTTTGTGGAATGCGCCCGGTGAGTTGAATAACTGGAACCAGTTTGATTATGATTAATTTTAGGGGATGTGAATTTTGATGACTGTTGAATGATTGGAATGATGTAATGATGACGGTGTAAATTCTTGAGGAATTTGCGAGATGAGATGAAAGTGAACGGTATATCGTGTGATCTTTGATTTAAGTTGTATGTTTCTAGACTGCGGAGGTTTATGAGAAACTGAGAAAATTGAAATTGAGAGAAAGTCTGTTTTGTATTCTTGGAGTTTCCTGATATTTTTTAGATAGAATATTTATTAGCTTTATGTATTCATCTACAAATGTGTGAAATTCCGCAGTTTATATGTAACATTCATCTGAAACAGTACATTATTTTATGAGCATTGTTGTTTTTGATGCTAGCATTCAAGGTGTAATATTAACATTTACATTTATTTCCAATTGTTGATGTATTAATAATTATTTTCTGTATCACTATTTCTTGGCGGATTTAAATCAGTATTAAATAAGTTCTTGAACTTGAAACTTAAAAATTTGTTCAGTGAGGAATTCCAAAAAATTAGCTGAATGACGGGCATTGATCACAGACAATAATGATAAATACGTTGATAATTAAAAATAAACGTAAGTATTAATATTATATATTGAAAGTTATTCTCAAAATAACAATATTTTTTCTAATTATAAGCATCAGGAATAACCTGATACTTATTGCCACTACTTTATATAGCCATTAAAGTGGTTCTGGTTATTTAAATTATACAGTATGCAGGGTGACGAGTTGACCACGGATGCTTTTGCAAACACAGACCTTAACGCTCATATTTACAAAAATTTTAATCAGACACCAGTGTTCTATTTTGCTGATCCAGTTCGATTAAAGTTTTACAATGAAAAATAGTATTTTCGACTTAATATCATGTTAAACATCATGTTCGACTTAATATTAATCTTACAATTGGACAGAAATATTTCTTGCCTAACAAAAACTAAAACATGTGTAAAATTATCTATTCCTCAAATGAATGCTACCAGACTCTAAATGGAATTTAGAAATATTTTCATTCAACTATTTAACTTTTACCTGTAAACGCATAAAATCCGTGGTCCGATTGCTGAATGTTTTGGTAGCGATGAATATATGAAATTATGTAAACATTCTGGATCGTGGACATTGGACTCTCATCGATGCTCCTTATTGGGGCGGTTCTGAACTGACGAGTGTGCCAAGTGAATCCTGAGGATCGGTGATTTTATAATAGAATGTGAGGAATTATTGAAAAGTACACTTGAGGGTAACGAAATAGTTAAACATAACGAGTCCATAAAGGAAGGTTTATTATTCAGCAAACAACAAAGAATATTATTCTAAATGAATTTCTCTCACTAACTCAACACTGAATTTTCTTGACAATCCTTATTTTCTAAATTAAAACAGTTCTTCAGAAACTGTGTTGTACGGGTGAAATAAAAGAAAAGGAAACTCTGAGACGTTGATTTGATCAGTTGCTAAGCGATATTCAGGAATATATTTATTACTTTACCAATTTTAATCGAGTAGCAAATATTTCACGTTGACCAAAATTTTAAGAATTAAATAAAATTTTTAACTTTGGTACCCATGAAATAAATTAAAAAATGAGAAAAAGTGTAGCGTAGACTTTAGTTTTACTGGAGGCAATAACGAAAAGTATTGTTTACATTTTCGATTCTCATTTCATGCAATTATGAAACTTCTTCATATGGACTTGTTAAACGATGACATTATTACATCGTTACCACTAAGTATACTAACTTGTTTACGATGGTCACGTAGTAACCAGCCTGAACGAAGTGTAAGAGAAACTGGTCTTGAGTCTCGAAGAAGAATCTTTCGAGTAAATTCCTACTCTGTAACTCGTGTATATGAATTTAAGCCTGCGAAGAGTAGGACGCGGAAGGTAGAGTAATAAAGAAGAAAATGGTGGCTAATGGTGAAACTAATTCATGAAGGTAAATACTATAGTTCTTTCCCTGAAGAAAGAGCGTACTGTAAGACGAAAATGAAACAATTCTTCTCGAGTTATTTACGATCATTGTGCACGCCGAGATCGCATGAAAAGAGAGAAGAGGAATTGATCTCCATAGATACCTTCTGGTCCGTCGAAATCGTCGGAAAATATCGCGTAAACGTCGAGCGATTTGATATTCGACGTTGGTGAGACTTACCCAATTGGTGGCCAGTAACTTACTTGAAAATATACTTCGTACTAAACTCGATGTTTCGATAGAGACGGCCGAGATGTGTGTGTACAGAGTGTTACCAACGATGGACGCCATTTTGGAGCATAATAGAGAATGCAGTTTATGTGTTATACGTTTATGTATGTTTTACAAGAATAATATTTATTTAATATAGGTTTCCTTAAGTTCTACGAATTTGTTATTAAGAGAATCGAAATCGTTTTAAAGCATTTTGTAGAATTCTTTCTACTGTTTCCGAAAAATTATAATTTGAAAAATTCCTAATTCGGAAACTTATAATTTGAGAAACATTAATTTAAGAAATTTCTAATTTGAGTATCTATAATTCGAAGAATTATAACTTGGAAGCCTATAATTTGGATATCTATGATTAGAAAATCTCTAATTTGGAAAACTATGATCTGATAATTTACACTTTGAGGAAATATAATTTGAGAAATTCCTATTTGGAACAATTATAATTTGGCAAACTATAATTTGAAAAGGTACAATCTGACGATCTATAATTTAAAAAGCCATAATTTAAAAAGTTACAATTGATAAACTATAACTTCTCTATTAAATTCCAAACTAACGTCCATGTTTTCGAAAGCGTTCTGTACAGGCACCAGACAATGTCGTTTCGAAGGAACCAAAATGGCGACCTCGTTGTAACGATATACCTTTATACATGTGTAGATAATCCGAGCGGTAATTAAGTATGTGTGTAGGAAACAGAAGGCAGGGTGTGACAAAATACATGTGACCTTTCTCGAGAACAACTTCCACTCTTATTTTAGTATATTTAAATAAACATATCCGATGACTAATTACCATTAATCATTTACGACAAAGTCGCCAGCGATTAATAAGGCGAATAACTTATATTAAGTTCTTTTAAATTGTTTTTTAATGCTCGAACCCGTCCTCGAAGCAAATCCCATGCATTGTGGGACACCCTGTACATCAGAATAAAGAGATAAAATGAGCGGATCTGTAAATACGCGTGAATCGCTTTAGCTAATCTAATACCATTGTATTAATCGAGAACGTCGTTGCGGATGATCACGTGGCATCCGGTCGCGAGAAGCTTTGGTTTACGCGAATGATTACACATAAGTGTTTGCCTGTAAGTATAACGGCACCGAGATGTTTTAGGACGCGTCGTTCTTTGTAGTTACCATATGTTATCCGAAGAAATGTATAGACGGAATATAAGAACAATAAATAAGATATTGATACTCCATGTCTCTATGTCTTCAATAACATTAGAAATCTTGAAATTTTTAAGTAAATATATATTTTTATATGTGTATTTAATTTTAATATATAATGGTATTAAAAATCTAAAAATTTTTAATATTTCATTATTTAATATCGACATAATAATATCAAAACTTAATATTAAAATCTGATGAGTCATCTTTGAACTCGTATCATCTCCATTAGTAGTCAAGCACAATATACTACTTCTATTATTTTCATTTGATCTTCTTGAATATTTTTACAACAGATATTGTAGTGAAATAAAATTATCGAAACTTCAAATTACAACTATTAAATTCAGTAGATGGATACGAGGGAAATAATTTCTATTCTTTGACCTGAAGGGACCAGCATCCTCCACCCCATACATTGAAATCACCGTAGGTATTCGAACTTCTCTATGTCATTACAGTTATCGACAGATTGTAAGTATTCGTGCACTTGTAACTCATGAAAACTAACCAAAAGCAGTGAAATAAAAAATTAAGAAAAAACTAATTATACTACTTTATTTAAACTATCAGCGGTCTTTCAATAGTCCTTTAAGAATCAACCATTAATTAAACAATTTTTCAATAACAATAGCACGTAATGGCCTGCTGGAAGGTTCTATCCATTTTTGAATTAAAAGAAAATAATACATTTTTAATACATTTATTAATATTTACTGAACAATACAATTTCCATCGTTGCGTGATGGTAATTTGTGAATGCCATTCGTAATAACAATGAAACAATATTTTTTGAGTTTATCATTTAACCAAAAACTGTTAAGCTTCTTTTTAATGTAAATATTGGAAATATCTAATTGGTTTCTCAACAATATCAATTTTACTACCTCATAATTCTACCTTTCAACACCGATTTCTCGGAGTTCATCTATGAAATCGTTATTCCCACAAACATCCAGTCACAAACGACAAGGATCGAGTTAACACTAAACGTACCGCGATCGGTCAAATGACCGATTCTAACACTAAAACTACCAAAGGGGTCAATGTGAGCCATTTTAGAATTTTTAATTTGCAAATATTTCAATTGTGACAAGGCTTTTGCGTAAAATTGTAAAATAAATTTGTGAATTTGTACAGATACAACAGTAAAATGCAACTTAGAAATAAGTCACTCCAATTGCTCGGTAGTTTTAGTGCTAAATTTTCCCAAGGATGCTGCCTAACCACGTGAAAAGACACTTGTCCGATCC